CAGATTCCAGTTTGCGCAGCAGGATCCGTAATCCAGAGACAGCAGAACCTACAGCAAAAGGGGAGGGAAAGGAGAGGGAGGAAGTCAAATCTCACTGCTTGCCGACCTTTCATCGCGTGTACCCCGTCAAATCCCGCCTGCTCCTCATGCCCTCCCTCTGCGGGCCGAGAGCCTGCCCCCCTCATCCTCACCCGCTCTCTCTGAGGACCTCCTCCTCCTCCAAATTCCTGCTGTTTTTTTGTTATTATTATTTTTACTATTATTATTCGTATTATTATTATTATTAGTATTATTATTAGTATTACCATTATTATTATTATTATTATCTTCCTTCTTGCTGTTATTATAAGAAACATGTTTCTGCTTCGCCTTCTCCTCTGCCTCCCCCTCGGGAGCGTCCCAGAAGGGGGGAACCGTCCAAGAGAAAGGCCCGCAAATCATAGCCGGAGGATGTGCGCGGGCAGGGGGGGGCACGGGACGTGCTGCAAGAAGAAGCGGAGGCCATGCGATCCGGTGAGATTGTATGACCGCTGCCACAAAATATCCACCCCCGCCGCAGTCACCACCCCCCTCCGGGACGCCCCGGATTCCCCCCTTGCCCCTTGCCCTGGCGAGCTGGTTCCCGGGGCAGCTGGGCCCCCCGCCCGCGTAGGCGAGGTAGAACGCCTCGCAGACCAGTGGGGAGGACGGAATGGGATGGGATGGGACGGCGCCTCAAGGTCGAGACGGAAGGGCCTGGCCCGCTGATCAAAACCTGTGGGCTCATCAGAGCCAGCATCGGATCCTCGAAGGCCCCTCCGCGAGGGAGGGCCAAAAGAGAGGAATCAGCAGCACAAGCAGCATTGACGCAGCTAGTCTCCGTGAGGACAAAACGCCAGAACTAGAAGGAGACAAAACGGCATAATAACAAGTGGCACGCGTGCCCTGGCTCTTGCACACAGGAGCTGCGAAGGACTGGAGGCCCAGAGGGACGAACCACCACGAACCACGACGAAAATAAAAGGTTCCGCGGCCCGGGGGGGCTGCCCTGGGAAACCTGGACGGAGGAAGGCTCCCAAGGGGGGGTGGCCCAGGGGAGCTGGGGCTCAGGCTCAGGGCGGGGGTCGATAGGGGGACGAAGCACCACGAACCACGACGAAAATGAAGGGTTCCGCGGTCCAGGGAGGCTGCCCTGGGACGCCTGGGCGGAGGAAGGGTCCTAAGGGGGGGTGGCCCAGGGGAGCTGGGGCTCAGGCTCAGGGGGGGGTCGAGGCGACGAAGCACCACGAACCACGACGAAAATAAAGGGTTCCGCGGCCCAGGGGGGCTGCCCTGGGACGCCTGGACGGAGGAAGGCTCCCAAGGGGGGGGTGGCCCAGGGGAGCTGAGGCTCAGGCTCAAGGGGGGGGGGGTCGAGGGGGACGAAGCACCACGAACCACGACGAAAATGAAGGGTTCCGCGGCCCAGGGGGCTGCCCTGGGAAGCCTGGACGGAGGAAGGCTCCCAAGGGGGGATGGCCCTGGGGAGCTGGGGCTCAGGGCGGGGGTCGATAGGGGGACGAAGCACCACGAACCACGACGGTTCCGCGGCCCAGGGGGGCTGCCCTGGGACGCCTGGGCGGAGGAAGGCTCCCACACCGCCCCGTAAACCAGGGAAGGGGCGTTGTTTCTGCCCTTGATGCTGGGGGTGTCAAGAGCGTGTGAGACATGTTTCTCGACACCATAGAGGGTGCGCAGGGGGTGGTCCCTCACCGCGGCCGCTGGCTGGCTCGAATCTGTCCTCGATGGAGGATAGAAGGCTAGGAAGAGGGAGGAGGTTCAAGCAATCTGGCGTTGGATGACACATAGGGGAACATTCGCGACGAGGGCTGAGAACGCAGAATTGCGCATATTTTATAAACTTAAGCAAACACATAAGATTTGCATTAAGTATGTGGGGTTCCTCGGTAGCGTAATTTCTGCCCTTGATGCCGGGGGTGACAAGAGCGTGTGAGACATGTGGCTGTCCCCCTCCCCCCGTCTGCCCCTCTCCCGGGGTCCGCGATCGAGTGGAGAGGGGGGGGGGGCGAGGGGAAGGCCACGATTGGGCGTGGCTTAATGGGGGGGTCACAAATGGGGGGGTCAAAAAAGGTCCCCTTTCGTGCCCCTCGGGCCCCTCCAGAGCCCCAGGGGGCTCATTTAGGTACCATTTGGGTACCTTTTCGGACCACACTCGCCGCCCCCCCATTTACGATCCCCCCATTACGCAGCGCCCAATACGAGCTCGTAAGCGCACCTCCGGAGTCTCCAGAGCCTCCGAGTCTCCACTCCGTGGCCTTCGAGATGGCCGAGAGGCCATTGAGGCTGGCTCAAGCTGGACCCCATCACGCCGAGAAGGCCTCGATTATCCAGCTGAAGGGCCCAACCAGATGCAGTTCTGAGTAACGCAAATGTAAATCTCGTCTTCGGTGGAACTCCCTATGGGGCCACGAAAGCGTGAGGGGTGTACCGAAATGGACATGCGGTGCGGGGGGCCGCATGTGATCCCTGCCATTGGGTCTTTCGGTGGAACTGCCTATGGGCCCACGAAACGTGTGAGGGGTGTGTCGACATGGACATGCGGTGGGAGGGGAGCTGCATGCGAGCCCCGCCACAGGACCTTCGGTGGAGCTGCCAATAGGCCCACGAAACCTGTGAGCGGTGTGTCGACATGGACATGCGGTGGGAGGGGAGCCGCATGCGAGCCCCGCCACAGGGCCTTCGGTGGAGCTTCTTGTGGGGCCACGAAGCGTGCGAGAGGTGTGTCGAAATGGACATGCGGTTGGCGGGGAGCAGCAGGCGAACCCTGCCACTGGGGCCTGCGGTGAAACTCCATACATCCCCAGGACGAAAGTTTTCCCTCTTGGGACACAACACAGTGCCTTCAGCGCGTTTTCGGCCTGCGTCTCCTGGCCCAACGCACAACGCATGCGCCGTCGTCGCGCGTCCTGAATGCCCCCGCAGTGGGTTCGGCTCTGTGGCGACAAGCGAGTCCGAGAGCCAAAACTGCGGTTTCGGCTTGCGTCTCCTGGCCCAGCGCACGGCGCATGCGCCGTCGTCGCCCGTCCTGAGTGCCGTCGCAATTGGTTCGGCTCTGTGACAACAGGCGAGTCCGAGAGTGCGCGGTTTCGGCCTGCGCCTCCTGGCACAACGCACGGCGCATGCGCCGTCGTCGCCCGTCCTGAATGCCGCCGCAATTGGTTCGGCCCTGTGACAACAAGCGAGTCCGAGAGTGCGCGGTTTCGGCCTGCGCCTCCTGGCCACACGCACGGCGAATGCGACGCTGTGCGTCTGGCGGCGCCGATGTTCTCTCGCCAGCCGCTAGTTGCCACTGGCGCCTGAAGAGGAGCATCTGCCGTCCTGCGTAAGCATGGCGCCACGAAACACGTGAGTGGTGTACCGACATGGGCATGCGGCGGGATGAGGAGCCGAGCCGCAGGCGAACCCTGCCGCTGGGTCCTTCGGTGGAGCCCCGTTATGGGGCCACGAAGCGTGTGAGTGGTGCCGAAGTGGACATGCGGTGGGAGTAGAGCCGCAGACGGACCCTGCCACTGGGTCCTTCGGTGGAACTCCCCATGGGGCCACGAAGCGCGTTAGGGGTGTGCCGAAATGGACATGCGGTGGGCAGGGGACCGCATGTCATCCCTGCGGCTGGGTCTTTCGGTGGAGCTGCCTATGGGCCCACGAAGCGTGTGAGGGGTGTGTCGACATGGACATGCGGCTCTGGGGGAGCCGCAGACGAGCCCCGCCGCGGGGGCCTGCGGTGGAGCTGCCAGTGGGCCCACGAGAACGTGTGAGGGGTGTGCCGACGTGGACACGCGGTGGGCAGGGGAGCAGCAGACGAAGCCTGCCACCGGGTCCCTGTGGTGGAGCCCCCCCCTCTCTGTGGGGCCACGGGGCGTGCGAGGGGTGCGTGCGCCGGAGGGGGCACGCGCAGGCAGGGAGGCAGGGGTGGGAGGACGGAGGGGCGGGCGCGCGGCGCTGCCCTTTCACGACGAGGACCCGACACCACAAGCTGGCCGAGAAAAGCACTCAGAGGTGGCCGCAAGACGGCCCGAGGAGGCCTCCGAGAGGCCCCAAGGGGGCTCCAAGAAGAATCGGGAGAGGGCCCCTAAGACGCGCAGATCGGCCCAGTCCCTTTGTAGATCGTACGGGTTTCGTGCATTCGACTTCCTGGTGCCAACGTCGTCCAAGGCGGCCCAAGAGTCCCACAAGACTGCTCCGAGACGACCCGAGAATGTCTCAAGGCTGCCCAAGAGGGTCCCAAGACGGCCCGAGGGGCGACCAAGACAGCCCAAGAGAATGGCGTAAGCCTCTTGAGCAACTCGGTGCGACGACGACGCCTGCGGCGGGTTTCTTCGCATTAGAGTTCGAGCCTCGCGACCCACCGACGCCTCCGCCCCCGAGGCCTCGCCCACCCACCACTCCTTCGGCACGTCCCTCGTTGAGCTTTGCAACACGAGAAAACACCTGCCGTCCGCCGGCAAAGCCCTCAACAGAGCCTACCCCGCTCTCAAAAGATCCTGCCCTTGTCCCGACCGGCCACACTCGGGGGAGCTGTATTGCCGAACCCCTCTGGGGGGCCAGCCCATCGCGTCGAAGCCGATATGTGAACCACAGCTTCGCCAGTTGTGGCTGGCATGCCTTCGCCGCCCCATGATGCGAGCTTCGGACCCCAACGGGGCCGGTTTCGGGTCTCGCTGCCATCGTGACCCGAATCTGGCGCGGAGAGCCGCTGTCGAGGAGCTGAGGCCCCTGCCGTCATTACTCTGCTCCCTCCTCCTCCCAATCCTCCTCCTCCTCCTCCTCCTCCTCCTCCTCCTCCTCCTCCTCCTCCTCCTCTACCTCCTTCTCCTCCTCATCCTCCTCCTCCTCCTCCTCCTCCTCCTCCTCCTCCGCCTCATCACCATCCTCCTCTATCCTCCTCGCCCTCCCCCCTCCTCATCCTCCTCCTCCTCCTCCTCCTCGCCCCTGACCCTCGCTCCGTATCGGCCCACCCCTTC